GAGCAAATTATACTGCCTCTTTCTTCCTCTTATCTCTCCTTACAAATTCCCTAGTTTCATAACATGTTATCAGCACGAAAGCTCTTGGTAATGTTCTTCTCTATAGCTTACATTCATCCACATATATATATTTTTTTCTTTTATCTACAAAACTCGATGACGGCTGATTTTTTTAAAGTAGAAAACAATCATGGATGCTCTCGTTTTAGGAGAAATGACAAAGATATTTGTCTTGCAGATAGTGCAACTACGCACACAATTCTTCGAGATAAAAAAATATTTTGATAATTTACATTTATCAAAAGCAAAGGTAACTACCATACTAGGTTTTGCAAACCTAATTGACGGCTTTGGAAAAGCTCAAATTTTGTTACCCAATAGGACTCAATTCTCCATTGATAATGCTTTGTACTCTTTGAGATCGAGAAGAAATTTACTTAGCTTTAAAGACATTCGAATGAACAGATACCTTATTGAAACTTGAAAGGATCACAATGTGGAGTATCTTTGCATTACCACCAATATCAATAGCCAGAGGCGTATATTGGAAACACTTCCTGTTTTCTCTTATGGGTTGTATTATACAACCATCAAAGCAGTTGAAGTTCATGCTATCATGAACCAGAAGTTCATTGACCCAACAACTTTCATGTTTTGGCATGATCATCTTGGGCATCCTGGATCCACAATGATGTGTAGGATTATTTCAAATTGAAATGGACATCCTTTAAAGCCTTACCATAGTACTTTGTCCATTGACCAGTCTTGGAAAGCTTGCTCCCAATGGAAATTGATCATTAGACCATCTCCGTCAAAACTTGGATTTGAATGTCCATCTTTCTTATAGAGAATTCAAGGTGATGTTTGTGGGCCAATTCACCCATCTTGTGGACCATTTCGTTATTTTATGATTTTAATCGATGCATCTACAAGATGTTCACACGTTTGCCTATTGTCAACTCGCAATGTTGCTTTTGCTAGGATCCTTGCTCAGATAATTAAATTACGAGCACAATTCCCTGATTATCCAATAAGTCAATTTGACTTGATAACGCTGGTGAGTTTACCTCCCAAACTTTTGATGCTTATTGCATGTCACTTGGGATTGATGTTGAGCACCCAGTTCCCCACGTCCATACTCAAAATGGATTAGCAGAAGCTTTTATTAAGTGTCTCCAGTTCATTGCTCGCACTTTGCTATTGAAGACAAAGTTGCCAACTTCTACTTGGGGACATGCAATTTTAAATGCAGCAACTTTAGTCCGCTTGAGGCCAGTTGCCCAACACCAATTCTCCCCTTTACAACTTGCCTTTGGGAGACAACCCAATATATCACATTTAAGAACTGTGCCAATTCCACCCCCACAACGCACTAAAATGGGTCCTCAACGTCGATTGGGAATATACATTGGTTTTGATTCACCAACTATCATTTGCTATCTCGAACCTATGACATGAGATACTTTTACAGCACGCTTTGCGGACTGTCACTATGATGAGACATTCTTCCCGCCGTTAGGGGGAGAAAAGACCGTTCCTGAAGAACGGTGTGAATTAGGTTGGAACATATCCATTATGTCTCATTTTGACCCTCGTACAACTCAAAGTGAAAATGAAGTAAGAAAGATTGTCCACCTTCGGCAAATTGCTAATCAAATGCCACATGGATTCTCTGATACATGAAAAGTGACAAAATCACATATACCTGCAGCAAATACACCAGCAAGGATGATATCCCAATCGGATTAACCAATGTTGCAGAAAATGAATCATCTACTGCATGCCTGAAGCGAGGTAGACCCATTGGTTCAAAGGACTCAGCTTCTAGAAAGCAAAAATCGAAAGCATATTCCAACCCTAATGAAAACGCTCATGAAGATATTATTGGGAAAGAGATTGACCTTGAACCTATAATTCATCCAGAGAGTGAAAGTGTCATTGAAAAATACACAAGACACTGAAGAGAAAAAGATACCTAATACAGAAATTTATGTAAATTTCGCATGCAATGATGAACTGTGGGACCGTAGTGAAATGGTTGTCGATGATATTTTTTCTTTCATAGTAGCTGCTGAAATTATAAAAGGTCATGAAGATATTGAACCATGATATGTTGATGAATGCAAAGAGAGGCCTGATTGGCCAAAATGGAAAGACGCAATCCAAGTTGAGTTAAATTCCTTGGAAAAACGTGGTGTATTCGGACCTGTGGTTCAAACACCGCAAGGTGTAAAACCTGTGGGATATAAATGGGTGTTCATAAGAAAGCGTAATGAGAAAAATGAGATTGCAAGGTATAAGGCATGACTCGTTGCGCAAGGCTTTTCTCAAAGGCTTGGGATTGATTATGAAGAAACATATTCTCCTGTTATGGATGCAATTACGTTCCGTTATTTAATAAGTCTAGCAGTTTCAGAAAAATTTGACATGTGTCTTATGGATGTTGTTACTGCATACTTATATGGGGAGTTAGATGCCAATATTTATATGAAAGTCCCAGAAGGACTCAAGTTGGCAGAATCAAACACTAAATCACGGAACATGTACTTCATTAAGCTGAGACGTTCACTATATGGGTTGAAACAATCCAGACGAATGTGGTATAACCGTCTTAGTGAATATTTGATTAAGGAAGGCTACATCAATGATCCCATATGCCCTTGTGTTTTTGTAAAGAAATCAAATTCTGGATTTGCAATTAAAACTGCTGAATATTTAAAGTGTGAATTTGAGATGAAAGACCTTGGAAAAACTAAATATTGTTTGGGCTTGTAGATCGAGTATCATCCCAATGGTATTCTTGTCCATCAATCAGCTTACAATGAAATTTTTTTGAAGCGATTTTATATGGATAATTCCCACTCGTTGAGCACTCCAATGGTAGTTTGTCCATTAGACACAAATAAAGATGCATTCCGTCCTAAAGAGGATAATGAAATGATACTTGGTCCAGAAGTACCATATCTTAGTGCGATAGGTGCTTTATTATATTTAGCCCATTGTACTAGGCTAGATATTGCATTTTTAGTAAATTTATTAGCCAAGTATAGCTCAGCTCCAACACATAGACACTTGAATGGTATAAAACATATCTTGCGCTACCTTCACAAAACAACTGATATGGGCCTGTTTTAGTCGAACGAACCTTCTAATGGTCCAAATCTTGTTGGATACGCGGATTCTGGGTATCTCTTTGATCCACATAAGGTTGCTCCCAAACTAGTTATGTGTTTACTTGTGAAAACACAGCGATCTCATGGCGATCTACAAAACAAACTATGGTTGCTACCTCTTCTAATCATGCAGAAATTCTTGCGCTCCATGAGGCCAGTAGAGAATATGTTTGGTTAAGATTCCTAGTTCATCATATTCGGAAAACATGTGATCTTTCTTCAACAACAAAAGCTCCGACAATCATGTATGAAGACAATGCTGCTTGTATAGCTCAAATTAATCAAGGGTGATAGAACCAAACATATACCACCAAAGTTCTTCTACCCACATGAGCTTCAGAAGAATCAAGAGATTGAAGTCAAGCAAATTCGTTCCCAAGATAACCTAGCAGACCTCTTTACCAAAGCTCTTCCAAAGTCTATATTTCAGAAGTTGGTATATGGTATAGGGATGACTGTTGAAGATTAGGGGGAGATATCAATCAAGGAAACTCCTCAGTTTTACTACATCGGATGTATGTGCAATGTACTTTTTTTTTTTTTTTTTTCCTTCGATCATGTTTTTATCCCATGTGGTTTTTCCTAACAAGGTTTTTAACGAGGCAACATTTAGCACGTCCAACATGATGTCATTGTATGGTGGACATCCAAGGGGGAGTGTTATAAATCCATACGTTATGCGTTTATAGGTTATGGATGCCCACAATAATAGCCACTATTAACCTATCATAATACCCATCATTATATACTTGTAACCTACCAATTATGGTTGGTAAATGATTTAGGCCTCTCTACCACTATAAATAGTGGATCCGAATATGAATGGAATACAAGTTGATTTGAGCAAATTATACTGCCTCTTTCTTCCTCTTATCTCTCCTTACAAATTCCCTAGTTTCATAACATATAAGTCATTGTATTATGCTTAAATATGGAAGACTTTTTTAATCCTTAAATAGTATTTTAAAATGTTAATTGAATACACTCTCCTAATTTTGTTTTGACTGTGAGCCTTTCTTCATTTTGGGCCCAATCATCACCATAATGTACGACTGCCACGTCATTTTCCTTTTGTGGGCCCTAAGGGAAAAAAAAAAAGGGAGTTTCACTAAAACACTCAAAATGGGGGTTGAAATTATAAAAAAACCCAACACCCAAAACACTTTATAAACACACCCAAAACCTATCATTACACACACTCAAAACCCATTTATAAACACACCCAAAAAATATACAATTGTTGATTTTGGGTGTGTTTCTATGTTTAAATAGTGTTTGGATTTTTTTATACATATATGTCTAGGATTGAGTTTATTTATAAATTTGTAAAAAAAAAATTCCAGGTATAAGTTATGCTGCTCGCTACATTTAGTGTTTGGACAGTCGGATTGAAGAGTTGTTTAGTTTGTGTCAATGGCATTTAAGTTTAGTTTCTTTCCTGGAAATGCCAAAATATAACCAGACGCGCATGGTTAGAGGTTTTGACTTAGTCTTCTAGAGACGGTCAATGACTTCGAGGAACTTGGACTTTGTAATGAGACTAATACAGATATTTGTTTATGTGGAAGGTAAAGTCTTTAAAGCCCACGGAGCTCTCTCTTATTCTATACTTTGATTATCTTAAAAGGGTCAATATGCACAGCCAATATATAATAGTAAAATGGGGTTTCAAGTCACGTTCTCAAACATCTAGAAGAAGGGCTCTAGAAGTCAATGAACTATAACCCAGTTATTCGCGCGTTTTGATTCCAATTTCCAGCAAGTTTATACTCTCGATATTATACCTCTTCATTAACCAAGTTGTCTATATATACAACAAAGCACCCACCAACATTCTCACAATCAATACACTTTCTCATCACTTCATATTTTACAAAGCATTTTCATTTGAAGCTTTCCTTCCTTCCACTAAAAGAAATCAACATGGGTGATGCAGAATCTTTGCATTCCGCTGATGAGCTGAAACGCCAGAAGAAAATCAAAATGGCCATCTATATTAGTATTTTCGTTGTGTTTCAGATCATAGTTATCACCACAATGAGTCTTACTGTCATGAAAGTCAAGACCCCCAGGTTCAGGCTAGGCAACATCAACGTCCAGA